CTCGTTTACTAGTGACAATGCGAATATGCAACTCCATAATTTGCTTTAGTCTTTTTATTTGCGTGTGAAAAGATATATAGGTCATGAATTTATTTGCTCAACAGGCTGAAAGTGAAATTTTAGCAGATGTCAAGCGAAATTCAATATGGGGAAATTTAAATCAAAATTCCCCACTGCGTTTCGTCTTCTGGCATTCCTTGTGATACATGAGACGACAAATTTCTCCTAGTCTTTATTCCCCAGGTTTTCAACAGATATAAATTTTAGTCCTACTGAATGGCAGAATAAATGTTGATTTTTATTTTCCATCCTTATTAAATATGGTTTGTTGGCCTGGCTTTTTTTAACTTTTCTACACTTGTTAACTAGACACGCGGAGCTGTAATCAATCACCACACTTTCCATTATTTTTCCAATGATAATATGTTAGCGTTGCAATTTCGTGACTACAGATTCTCGCGATGTGGATACAATTTAGCGTGCATGCAATGTCATGCAAATTCTTGGCTTAGCTCTGTGGAGTGGCCCTATGTTTAGCTTCAGTAGATAACACAAACTGCCTTGGCTAGTGGAATAATCTCCCTTCAAAGTAAAACGATTTGGCGTATTGCTAGTCAAAAGGTTGGTGTTGGGGAAAAACTGGTCCAAACACAAAAATGGGCAGATAAAAGCCACTTTTTACACACAAGTTTTGTCTACAATTCATCTCTCAGTTTGTGCCTGGGCAGCGGCATGGCGAGGTTGTCGTCCGACAGCAGTTCGCCGCGGTCCGTGGCAGGGCTGGCCAACCAGACGGCAAAGGCCTCCGACACCTCACCTCTCGTCAGTTTCCCGTCGGCATTCAAGTCTGATTCCACGAGCAGGTGATTCGCCTCAAGTCGTGCGTATTTCTCCGACTCTAGGTGGCACCGCAAGAGTTGAAACGAATTAAAACGGCACTTTAAATGAACATTTACAAACCGAACGGATTTGCAGTCGTTTTTTCCATTTTTTTACTCTTGCTAAGGCAGAGCACTGCCTTCCTGCTGATTATCCCAGCGTTCAAAATCAAACACGTGGCAAATGGAAACAGTCGCTTTGACTCAAATTTGTCCAAACGCGTGCATGTGGTGAGGCTCACGTAGATTTAATTCGCTATCTGCAGTAAATTTTGACTAAATTAAACCACCTAGTTAGTCTCGGACCCACATTTTCGGACGACTCGTGTGCACTCGAACACGAGTCTCCAGTCAAATTAAATTTCCTGCCTAGATTAGGACACCAAATGCTCACCTTCCTTGTAGTGAATTTTCAGTTCGTCTTGGTCAATCACTTGATCTCCGTTCTTGTCAATCGACTTGAACTTTGTCTCTTCAAACTTTAATGTATCAGAATCCTTGTTATCTGAAAGGGAGAAAAGTCGTGTCGTCAGTTTTCCCACTTTAAGTATGCACAGGAAATCTTTGTCTGCACACACATTCTCCGTCCAAGTTTATTCGTTTTTTCCTATATTTCCAGAAGGCATGTGGGCTATCAACAAAAGCAATTAATTTATTTCTACAAACAGATGTGCGATTCCTGGTGATTCGAGATCTCATTTTTTAAATGTAAACTTTTGACGATCGTGAAAACTGGTAACACTTGAGCAGATCCAAGGATCAGGTTTTTTCTGGACATTTTTAGGGGGGACTGACAGTCCGATCAATATGCGCGCGACTTTTTGGCCAGACGTCTTTCCCTAATTGAGGTTCTTAAGTTCACAAAAAAAGACCTTGGTGACAGTGAGGCGAAGTTTGTGCATCTAGAAATGGCTATTCTGACATGATGCCAGTTGAGTTAAGCGTTTGGTTCCCTTTCCAACCGCTCAGTGGTTTTCTAAACAAACAGCTTCCCAGGCTGATAATTTCCTACATTATAAACAAAAATTTCGACTTCACTAGAAGTCTAATTGTTTTCAGACCCACGTCGACTCAGTCGCTAAATCTTCCAGACAAGTGCATGGACAGATTTTCTCATTCAGTCTCACGCAATAGACTTTTTACACATGAAGCCGATGCTTTTCTCCAACTACCTACTTTGTGGCTAATCAAGGGGTTTCTCCTCATAGAACTGGCGACTTTACGGATAAACGACGGATACTTCAATGAAACCGTTAATCTACAGTCGCGTTGTCGAAGTGGTTTTGCAATAATTTGCAGAAAAAGTGTACCACTGAGAAGTCTGATACCTAGAACTAGAACTGTTTGTGACCTTTGGCAGATAGTTGACCGCAGTTACGAAGAAAACATCAAAGCTACCTACAGTTACGTTGTTCCTAGGTTTAAGTCACATGCAGAGGGTGGTATTTAGCATTTTTGTGTGCGTAATCCAGATAATTTTACCCACTTTTGCAAAAGTATCTGTTCGTACTAACGATCGATGAACTTTATTCTTATTGGTTACCCATAAATTGCCCATTACTTCAATTAATGACTACTCCCTGTGATTGGGTGGTTCAGTTGGCCTCAAAGAACAAAAGGTTAACAAATTGGCTGAATCAGGAGTTAACACTACCTGATTTCCCGAGCGTGCTGACTAAACTAGAAGACCATAATACATCTATAATTTCACAAGAAGAAAGCGGACACTTACTAGATGATTCTTTTCATTTCCTTTTCGCAAAAGTCCTTAAGTCTGAAGTATTAACGTCACTTCTGGATTGTCAGTTAGGTTATTGCGAGAAGGAATAACGAATCTTGGGCAGAATATTCTGTCGTGAGCTTTAAAGACACTAAGGAGACTGGGAGCCAAAAAATATTTTCATTGCTACCAACCAGCTCCAAGTGATAAGAAAGGCTTTTGAACACAGAGTGGACCACATCTTATGCGAGAATCCTACATCCAACTTCAGGACGTATTTACAAGAAAATCCCATTCAAACACACCAGCCATGTTTTGTGCTGTCGTGAACGTTGATGAATTAAATGGGCATTTGTCCCTAGTAGGTAAAAAACCGGTATTCACTTGTTGTCTCCTCCTCCTGCTGTCATTCGAGGTAGTAACCACAGCAGTAGCCGCCTTTGGTCCAACGAAAGGCCTTGGTTTTCACTTAGCACTTCTTAGAAATGCAAGTACTTCGAGGCACAAATGCTATTGTCGGGTACTAAAAAGCTTCCCATATGAGGTGTCTGTCAAACCGAAGGAGCACAGCTTGTCACTGAGGGTTAATTTTCTTAACCAACAATACTCCAAGCCCATGCCATTGTAGAAAATGCCTAGACGAAAACGCTAACTGGATTTTTTAACTCCAGAAAATTTCTTACTAATAACTACTTTCGCCGTTTTTAAACAGTTAGATGCAGAGTGATTTTGCAGAAATCAAACTAAATACGATCAAGTCACGGTGGATATGACATTTCATTAAGCTGATGCGTGCAGATGAACCCAACGCTCAATGTTCTTCCAGTTGCAAATGGGATAATGTCGACGTGTCATAAACTACGCCTCAAAACTATCTTCCGACTGAACCTTTTGACGGCGCATTTTAAACCCGTCTACCAAAGCACGTGTCAGGCTAACTACCTAACTAACTCACTGGCAATGTATTCTTCCCACGAAAGCCTTTTGTCGCCATTCTGATCCTGATAACGCAGAATTTCACCCACAACAAACGGCACCATGTGGGGGTAGTGGTAGGGGGCGTTAAAAGCTGCCAGCTCGTCTGTGTTCAGCACGCCGTCCCCATTCAAGTCGGCCAGCGAGAACTTCTCCTTTTCTTCATCTACTGACTAAAAGAACAGCCGTGAAGGGAATTTGACCGGTAAAAAATCATACAAATTCATTTCCTGTTAACTCTTGACATGGATTTATTTGCTGGACGTACTAATAAGTTTCCAGACGTCAAATTGGGGTATTTTGTAAGGCTTGTGAGTCAGATACAGACATGTAATTACAGGATACTTCGGAAAGTAAGTCGGTTCATGGTAGATTTGATCTATGAAGTCGGATCAGACCGCTTAACCTTGAATGCATGGTAGTCGATAGTTTCAAATACTAACTGCGTTAAAGTCTTGGATTTACAACACGTATTTTTGCTGATTTTCCAATGGTGACAGTTGTTGGCACCTGAAACTTTAGGTGCACGTAACTGAACTTTGTATTACACATTCTTCAGATTTATTTGTGAGCCAGCGTGTTTGGTTTTAATTCTGATCCCAACTCGGCGCCAAAAACGATATACGGAATGGGCGATCAACAAGGCAGGTAACCTTATTGTGGTAGGCATGCGGGTACTGTGCAATGTTTAAGGTTTGCACTGTGTATTTTTCGCATTATTTATTGCCAAAAATTGCCTTTTATTCCTGTTCCTTCGACTTGTCAATTCAAACGCAGGACTTGCAGATAAGTAGGCCAGTATTGCTTACAAACACTTCACCAGTTTAGTTGGCACTTCAAAATAGATAAACTCACATCAAAACCAGGGGCCTAGGCTCTCATATCGATTGTTCAGGCAAGTTAAAATGGCACTATTTGGAAAAAAAACATTTTCTCTTTAGGCATGAAAATACTCAGATATTTTTCTTAAGCCTCTGTTTCTACTAAATCACGTCTTCTTTCGACTAAAATTATAACAAAAGCTACTGCCATACCTCTAGAAACTGCTGTGCGTCTGTCGATTCATCCGATCGGAGCCCTTCAATCTCCTTTAAGGAGTAACCGTAGGTGTCGCCAATATACTCCTCCAGCGAAACGAACCCGTCGCCATTGAGGTCGAGCTGTGCCAGCATCTCCGCTGCTGCCTTCCTATCGGCCCGCCTGAAAACAAAACGGCGAAATGTCTACTCGAACATACTCTGATGTTATGTCATTAGATTGGGAATCCCTAAGTCTTTCAGTACATAACCCACTAAGGTTAAACTTTGGTCAATTTAAACACGCAAGATCGCTGGCGCGTTTCCTGGCAACTTTGAAAACTCACACAAAAGCCGAGTCAATCCAAGCCATGAGCTCGTTTTCGTCTAATTTTCCATCTTGTGAAGTGTCAATATGGTCGAAGAGCCTGGCCAGTCTTTCCTTAGCTTCAGCCGGATTCCCAGACAGGTCCTCAACAAAGCACTCTGCACGCACAACAAGAAAGACGGCAAAGGCCAATGACACGCGGATCATGACTGTGGTTACTGGACGGTGCTAATGGATGGCATTTATATATATATATTTTTAGAGAAAATGGTGGCTAGTCGTGGCAGCAAAGGAAGCTAACACGTCACGCAGTTCGGCCAACGCCCCACATAAATCGAGTGTGCGTGAATTGACGTGGAAAATAACGCACTAGAAAGTGCCTTGAGTTTACCAGTTTCGGTACCACCATAAACATCAACATGTAATTATCCTTGTTGCATTCGCATTCTTAGCAAGGGTATGGATGCCACTTTACCAACCGCAGTGTCTTTAAGCTATCGCGTTTAAATTTAATTTGCTTCATTTGTCTTACCTAAAGAAATATGTTTTTTAAAAGAAATCATATGGTAAAATGTGATACAAAATTACATTTAAAAATGCTAGACATGATCAATTACATTATGTTTTTTCCAAGCATAAATTTTACGATTTTAAGCAAATAATTAGTGTTTGGTAAATTGCCGCAATAATGGCTTAAATCAGTGCGTTTTTACAAGCAACAGGCATGAGGTGACGATGTTTACTCTAAAGTCGGAATTGAATTCTGGGTACATTTTCATTGCGTGTGCAACGACCTTCAGTCATACCACCGTAATACGAGTGATACGCTAGCCAAAATAACCCGGTGGTCACTCAGCCCCCCGACACAGCATGTCGTCAGCCGCGCGCAGCCTCAACTTTTCCTTATTGGCACGAACGATTATCCCTTACTACTACAGCACCTGGGCTTCGATTAAAGCGCAGTTATAACTCACGATGTTTCACAAACCTGCGGCATGCGTTTACAAACGGAAACGCCCACTCGACACAACAAAACGAACTTGGTTGAGTTCTGAGGTAAATGGTTGTGTCCACATCGTCTCCGGTCTTCTTCTTTATCGCGGGTAGTGGAGTAGCGTAATCAGGCCAGATCAAACTCACTGGCGTCGGCGTGGTTCAAGACCACATGCTGGGGCATACAAAAATTCTAGACAGTTAAATTCCGACAAAAATGCTACATCAAAATTAACACGATTGTAGAATATAGAATAGGCGTGGCAATGCGATGCTAAATACCTGACAGCCTGAAAAATTTCGACGATTTAAAAATTAAAAGATGAGAATCTAAGTGATTCTTAATGAAGTCTTCACCATAATTTATGATATTTTTGAGGGATTGTCATTCTTTTCAAATAAGGCTCGCAGACGAATCAGGTTGACATGATTTTCATAAGATATTGCTGTAAAAAGTGGCACTCAAGCAATTTAGACCTCATGTTGCTGATAAAAGTGTTCACATGGTGTTGTTGGTTGTAGGTGAGGTTTCGCTTTTTCAGGACTAAAAATGGGGACAAAAACCTTTCTTGCAAGTATTCGCGTTATTGAAGAGTATAAGTGGTGATTTCTATCAGTTGCATTTGCGTGATCTGATATCAAAACGTTAATTTTTATACCCAAGAACTAGTATCACGTATTTATTTGATTTAAGATCAAGAAAACAGGCACAATTTCCTGTTCGCGATCAAGCATTCCTCAAGACAGTCCATCTCGGTTCAGGATCCAGTCATAGTGTACCCGATTCCCTTACTCACGCAACTTCAGTGAGTGTCACCCGCGGCACACTACTGATTGCCCCATCTGTTTTAACCTGCCTTGATCCATTAGGTCAAGGTCAGCGTTGGAAGGTGTCAGACAAGGGATCTGGGGTACCGGATATACGAGTGTGTGGTTCTGGTAACGAGCAAAACGCACCAGCTGCATAAAGTGCAAAATTAAAGGATACTTATTACCTGGTTTTGTAATCACACAGCTCGTGTGATGGGTAGATACTTTTTAACAGTGAAGTACCAGGACTAAGGTGAGTTTAGTTTGGATTAAAATCCATTACCAAAAGTTTTACAACAAATATCATACTGGCAGCCTCTGCGAGAGCTTTGGAATTCTTCGATTATGTTTTCAAATTCATTTTCCCCTAAAGATTCACGTTATTCTTAAGTTTACTAAAGACCAAAGTTTAAGGAAGACGAAAGGATTTAAGTCATTCAAATTTGAATTATATTAAAGCACCAGCGCAGCAACCTCAATATATTCATGTAAACAAAGGCCTGTAAACGTCTAAATCAAATAAGACCTAACAAAGTGCTTAACTGCATTGATATTCGTGAATGTTTTCAAGGAGCCATTGATGAAATTGATAGATCTCTTGGTGTTAATTTCGGAGTAGAACACCCGAGGCCTATTATGAAGACGGAGACAACGGAGCAAGCCTTATTGATCACTTAAAAGCCAGAACCGTCAATCAGGCGCCGATGACCAGAGTCAGCTTTACAAGAAGCGCCGCTCATGCAGTGCTTCTCATACGCCTACGAGCCCGGTTGGCTGGTTAACTCTAAAGTAGAATATTTAGTTGCACGGAGACAAACGATTGGGTGAGGTTGACATGATCTAATGTCTGTGCACTTGAGCGTGTGGCTAACAGCAAGTCATCAGAGTTAGCATTTGTGGGCGAAGGCAGTTTGCAAGCGTGAGCGAACACCAATCAATCGATTTTATTCGCCAATGCACTGCTGTGGACAGACAATCACCGCACGAGTGCTGCGTGTATGCTTGCCCGACTGTATCAATGACTCACCCTCTTTGTTATTGGTTTTGTTAGCAGTCGCCTGTAACGCACGCGTATCGATACGCACACAAAAGTTAGTTACTCTATTTTACTCGACTTGACTTGACTGGCGTGACACGAATAAACGGTCATGGTCTGTTTCGACTCTGCCTTCTCTCTTCTCGGGTTGTGACTGGCTGTTACCTATAGGGTTTCGTGGTAGTGCTAAACTCGGCCCCTACAACCGTCGCTTCACCACACTGTCTTCTGGCTTGGTCTCCGACACGTATACAATGACTCTTGATAAAATATATTTAGTTCACAATCTCCTGGAGCCTCAAGTTTGGCAGATGAGCAGCCCAAACGCCTAGTAGATGAAGATTGTTGTAATTGTTGACGTGGAGGAAGGCCGTATCTTTCACCTCAGTTTCCTTTTCCACAGGCCAATATCTCGTCAGAGTCAGTGGTCCTTATTCCTGGCAATGTCTGTAGATCTAGTGGTTTTGCATGTCGGCTGACTACTATAATTCATGGGTCTTCACCTCTGTTGCCCGTAGTAGGCGATGGGATGGGGTTCTTTTAGTTTTATCCAAACGTACCCACTGCCACAGATGTAAAATACTTAAGCCATAGAATGAAGAACACAGAAACAACAGGTAAAGCTTTATCGGCGGCACATAGGCTATAACCGCTTGCCAGGTTTTATCAACCTGAGCGCACTATCTACGCTGCCAATTATATAGTAATTCTAATCGGTCCAGGTCTCTGGTTGGCTGCTGGTTTTCAATGCAGGCCATTCAAACGCTAAGTTGCCGTACTCAGCACGATCCAATATGTCTGCGCCTATTGTTTTGCGTCGTGTAAAATACCCGAGCCCTTATGTGAACAAAGACTGGTACAACAGAACGGGCATTATCGACCAATCACTAACCAGAACCACATGTCAGACGCCATCCATTCGAGTCTACCGCTCTGGTCACGCCGATCGTTATATACTGCTCCTTACTCGTATCTGTCTCTGGTTGGTTGCATATCTTCCTCTCACGATATTGGACCGCAGATAGTCAGAGGATTGGCTTAGACTGGCGTGGTCCAATATGTCTGCGCCCTTATACGCCGCCGCAGTCGCATTGAATTCGATTTTGTTGCCGAGGAATGGATGTTCGGGACGTGCTTGCATTTGGTGTAACATAAATTGTATTTTATATTGGTTTTAGTCATCGAATAATGCCTCGCGTAAAAGAAGTAATAAACCACCAGACCCTCCCACATTGGGACCTAGTAAACCAAATGACGTCTTTCTTGAACCACGGGCTAAAGCACCAAGAACGGCCGATTCTAGTGGCATTGGTCTAGCTTCAGACCTTACCAGAGGTAGCATTGGAAAGCTTGTGTTTTTTAGCTAATGGAAACGGCTTGCTAACTTGTGCTTTTGTGTAATAGAATCGTTCAAATCCAAAGATGCCGACGAGGAATTAGCTGCTGCATCTGCTCGAATTGATGGTGAAGAAGAGCTTGGGATGGTTAGCGAAGATGATATTACTGAGTCCATTGTGCGGAAAATGTGTAGCCTGCTCGAAAAGCGGATTCTCGCAAATCAAGAAGCCCGCACCAAGTTCCCGGACCAGCCAACTAAATTTATGGATTCCGAGGTTGAACTCCAAGAGACGCTTGAGAGCATGCAGGTAATGTAATGCAGTGTAACAAGTTACTTGTCCTTAAAGTTCTCTTCAACATCATTTTCCATTTCGTCATAGATATTATCTGCAAATCCAAATCTTTATGGTGTTCTTGCTGCCCAATCACGCCCGCTTCATTTGCTCATCGGACTTTTGTCACATGATAATACCGACATTAGTGTCAACGTTGTTGATCTTCTGCACAGCCTCCTGGAACCCACTGGCTTAAAGGATGCCGATCCTGGAGCTGTCGGTCCCTTGTTGGACTTTTTCTTTTCAAACCAACTCGTGCAGTTATTGACACAGAATTTAGCTCGACTGGACGAGTCTGTCCGTGATGAGGCAGAAGGTGTTCACACAACTCTTGGTAAGACTTGTGACATTTAACTCAGCTACCATGTTTGGACCTTAATGGTACTTTTCCTTATGTCATTGGTTAAATCTGTTCATGTATTCTGGTTATGTGGCGTTCTCCACTGTCCATTCGTTGAGGTATGTAGGTTCTTCAGCTAAATTGTCACACTGGCTCCCAATGCCCATTTTTAGCACTTGCTACGGCTGTTCGGACAACGTGCTGCCCAACGTCGACTGGTCATTAAGTGACTCTTCCCTGTTTAATTATGTAGGTATAATCGAAAGCCTGCTGGATATTCGACCTGAGATGGCCGTAACAATCGCCCAGCAGGGCATTTACGCCTGGCTACTGCGTCGGATACAGCGTCGTCAGTTTGATAAAAACAAGCTCTACGTCTCGGAGGTGCTTTCGATCCTGTTGCAGCTTGACGACGCCAACAAGACCCGCCTGGGTGATATGGACGGCATTGACGTCCTGTTGCAGCAATTAGCAGTCTACAAACGCCACGACCCAAGCACTCGCGAAGAGGCCGAGATGATGTACAACCTTTTCGACTGCCTTTGCTCAACTCTGATGCTTGCTACCAACAAGGACAAATTTCTAAAGGGCGAAGGTGTTCAACTCATGAATCTGATGCTTCGGTAAGTATTCCGTCTAAAGCCTATTCAACTCCCTCAATCTCCGCTCTCAAATTGGGTGTGCTAGTTAACCGATTTTGTGCAAACGAGTGCATGCGCATATGCTTGTATGTAGAGAACCATAACAGCAATCTTGTTGGTTGTAATTGAGACACTTTCCCCTCGAATAGGTTTTCTTGGTCTCAATAACAGCCTTAAGTTCCAGGGTTCACGACTAAATTAAGAAGGTGTTGGTGGTGTCTTAAAATACTTGCTTCCGATTCTTTGCAAATGGTATTTAAGTATTTTTAGGAGTTAGGGTTCAAAACCGACAAGGTGAAAGCCTCAACTCGCGCCAGAGAGTTGTGTTTGATAACGCCATTTTTCTTGTTTCCACCTGGAAGAGAACGACACGCGGCCCGTGACTGCGCCCTGAAGGTGCTCGATTACGCGATGTCTGTAGTGGTGCCCACGGAAGGCAGCGCAGAAGGCGGAGGGGCTTTCCTCCTCTCCGAGGGCGAAGCGGCCGCCGCCGCAAACTGCAACAAGTTTGTTGAGGTTCTGGGACTTCGCACCATCTTCCCCCTCTTCATGCACAGTCCCCAAGCCAAAGGCGCCAAACTGGCCGCCGCTATCCGCGAGAAGTCCCTTCCCGGACCCACTTCTGCTGAAATGGAAGAGCACATCATTAGGTGGGGGCATTGTTGTTGTTTTCGTTACAGGTCTCGAATTTAGTAGGTACATTCATCAGCGACATTTAATATTCTAGGCTGTCGGTTGTTCTGCTTGTCTTTGAATTCGATAGTCAGTGATTAAGTTAACACTCACAGCCTGGTATTCCTAGTGTGAAACAGGTCTGCTGGTCAACGAACTGTTGATAGGACCTTAAATAGCGATTTGGCTATCCACGTTTACCTCCAGAATCACTGGTGCCACGCACTGTCGAATAGGTTTATTTCTTTTTTTCCCCGCACAGTATTGTTGCTGCTTTACTGAGACAGTGCACTGGTCAGTTTCTGCAGCGTGTTTTGGCCAAATTTACCGAGAATGAACACGAAAAGGTTGATCGGCTCGTCGAACTTCACTTCCAATACCACGACAGGGTGACGAAGGCCAACGCCAAAATCGAAAGTCTTCGACAAGTACGTCGACGTCGTACTTATTTGTTATTAAGTGGCTGTAATTTTAGCCCTTGTACCTACTTTGTCTTCCAGCGCCTCTCAAATCGACCAGACGTCAGCAGCGAGGAGTTGGAGGAAATTGTGGAGCTTAAACGCATGGATAGCGGACTCCTTTCGCTTCAGTTAATTGACGTTTCCCTCCTCGATATTGCCGTAAACGGTCAACCCTCTGTAAGTACCCGTAGTATCCCCAGGTGTTACCTGATGATTTGGTTACTACTTGCGTTCTGATTGGAGGGGATGTAGCTCTAGTTCGATTGGATAGCCAGGAAGTGACGGCTTCTCTTCATAGTGCTTTTCTTCTACAACTTAGAATCTCACTCTTCATTTGCAAACTGTTAAAGTGGTATTGGTAACTCGTGTGTATCTTCTTTTTCTTTCCTTCTCTCTCTAGATTTTCCCTTGTCTTCAGCGTCTCATGAAGATGCGTGGTGCTTCTACGTCAGCGTTGGTGCAGACCGTTAGAGGTAGCTCCATTTGTGCTCTAAGTAATGCATTAGTCGGCCCGAAACAATGATGTAATAAAAAAGCTTTTTCCTAATTAAACTCCCTTTAACCACCAAAATCTGGCCTATTGGCGGAAGAGAGGATTTCATAAGCGTGTTCAATCTAACTTGCCCAATCGCGTTACGGCAAGATCCTCTGATGTTTGATTGGTTGACCTCTAGGTCGACTGAGCCAGTTTACGCAAATGTCGACCTTGAGTAGTTGGAAATGCCCCAATTATTGCAGCATAGTGACTCAAGAAGATTGAATTTGACTTTCCTAAACACTAGTGTACCCGAAGTTGGAGTTGAACGCGAGCGATACCGTTATGAGCGCCGTTTCATGTGTGCGTGCGTGCGTGCTTGGAAGCAAAGTGCAGTAGTCGTCGATGCATGGAATACCCTCATTTTTCACTACTGAATGGGACTGATATTCATTTACAATACATCGTTACACATAATTTTTGTTTTAATAAGCCAGCGGCTTTCGTTTAAGTTATTTTCGTGTAAATTTATTTAAACATTAAAAGCAATGCCTGATAGGTTTCTAAGTAGCCAAGGGGGTAATTCAAGTTACTCCGTCCTGTTGTAAAACCAAAAGGATCCCATTGTCGTCATTTTGATTGCACAATGTATCATGTACATATTTCCTGTTGCATTCGTTTTGTCCTACATTGAGACGCCAACGTTTTTAATTGGAATTCTTGCCGCCATTTCGACCTCCTGCAGTTAAACGGTTGCTAAGGTTTCTTTGGAGCAAAATCAGGAATCAAACGCTTGTAAAATACGTAAGGAATCGTATTTATTAAACTGGTGTGTGGTCCGGTCCATCGAAATCAACATGCCATCCCATTCCACAGACTTTTTACTCGGAATTGTGTCCTAACAATCAAGTCATGGCTGTTTAGTGAGCTTAGAGCCCCATATGGATGTCGGCCGTCTTCTCATTGATCGAATCTTGTCCCGTTAATTTAAGACCGGAGTTTGTTTGGAAATTCGAGCGCGCCTACTCATTTGAACGCATGGAACCGCTTTATTAGCTTATATGACTCCAAGTGGATCTCAGCACTGCCCAATTACGACTCCGAAAGGTGGTCGTGAATTTCCTGTCCACATTGAAGCCTGCGAGGTAGTAGCAAGCAGACTTGTTACAGTTTGTCTTGTCTTGACCAGCTGTTTTTCCCGTCTAGACTATGCGGAGAGTTTGGGTGAGAGTAGAACCTCGATGACGACCGAAAAGGCGCGGGTGCTTCGCCTCATCGGACACTTTGGCGAACTGTGTTCCGCCTCTCCAACTAAACCCCGATGACACTCCCTCCCACTACCACTGCCGCCGCCTGTGTCCATGTGTTCATATTTACCGCCAGCCTCATCGCCACAAGCATTTGTACCTAGTGTTTCGAAAATGCAAATTTTTACATAAATTCTGTCAGCTGAAGTGTCAGTTAATTGTGATTGGCTCAGCGACTTCCTTGAGGAGTTGAAGTAGGGTACATTTCCGCATGGTGGATTACGGTAGCCCGGGTTTAAACAGCACCTGTTTACTAGTGTTTAGTTCCTTCTTACAGATGACACGCCAATCAAAGGCGGCTCGGAGCGTTATTATAAACGCATTACATGTAAACTCCATGTAACTGGTGTCATCCCACGTAAAACACTATTCACCGAATGAATGGATTTCAAATGGTAAACAGGATTAAGGTGGTGAGTGTTGCCTTGTTGACATTTTTAGGTTGGTCAGGAGGCAAGCGCGTAACTGGAACTGCAAGGACCTTTAGTGGAAAGAAACCTTGTTAGTGTGCTGTGCAATTTTTCAGATCACCTTCTTCCCATATTCTTTAAACAAATGTGGTGGACTACCTTAGCTGCGAGAGTTTGACCATCGAGCACCTGGAACCAGCCTTGTTCCTGCAAAGGTCGACGATTACCGTGTGGTCCAATTTGCTAGCTGTCGCCGTTCATTTTGGCAAGTTATAGGCAGGTGGACTGTTCTGTCAAGCGACAATTTATAAATTGGGCATCCAGGGAGACAGACACCCGTCTGGAATCGCTGGCGACTCAAGTGAATTTTCGTCATGGGTGTAACTAACGTTTCCACTCAGTAAACCACCAAATACCCAGTGGAAACTTCACCTGTCCAACAATTTTAGCATCAAAACTTAAGTCAAACGCATCCACAAGCCCTACTCCCTCCGTCCATATTTGCACACGCATCGAGTCTATGACTTATTTAGCAGCGTCCTCTCTCAAACTGAAAAACCTACCAGTCGAAATCGACTGCTTTGTGTCCAAGGGCAGCATTTAACACCGAGTCCCCGTTCCTCCTTCTTTTCGGTTGGGCGAAACCGTTAATGAAAGTGCCACGGTTGACCGAGGACTTGGCAGTCAAAAGGAGGCCGTGTGGTGGATCGTAGTGATTCACGTTTAGCCAGTCATGTGCTGGAATTAGGCCCTTCATATCTATAGGTTTATGTGGTAGGTTACTGTACTTCCTAGTAGATACGCGCGCCGGATGCTCTCTAGATGGTGCTGTCAATTCGTGTTAGGGTCGCGAGCGGGACCATGATGCGAAGTAGGGGTGCATAGATGTTCCACTCTCTAAATCGGGTAGTCTGTACCAGCATAACATAGTATTTGTGCCAGGACATGCTGTACGACGGTATATCGGGATCCGTTTACCTCGACAGGTACGCGGGCGAGTACAGTCGACCGAAACTTTGCCTACGCTTAGGGCTTCATAAAGTACCAGTAGTGTTCAGACAGAGTAATGGGATCATGTCGCAGATGGCGGCTCAAACACACCCGACATCAGAGAAGCTAGACCGACTGGTGAGCGCACAATCAAACGGCGAGAGGCTGGCCTTATTCAGCTTCCCAGGTTGGTCCAATAGTATATGGTGTCAGTAGGCACTGTGTAGAATTGCGGAAACTTAATGAAGTCACAGATTCCACGCTGTTGATCAATGACTACATTAGGCATGCCCACACCGCGAGCGCACAGCACCCACACAACTCAACTTGGTTGAGCTGTCTGGTAAACGGTCGTGTCTCCGCCATTCCATGTCGTCTACTTGTCTTCTCGCGTGTGTGAGTAGCGTAAACGTACCGAATCCTGCTCAGTGGCCCTGGCGTGGTACAAGGCCACGCGCAGGGAACTCAACAGCCGTTTTATCATCAGAAAAGGCAAGTATAGTTGACTTTCAACCAAGGCGAACTCGATTCTGAATGCCTGTGTGAATGACCAGGATACTGTAAAGTTACCTACCCAAAGGCAATCCTGTTTTGTGACTTGAAAAGACCAAGTAGGCATGGATGCCAAACAAACTGGTTGAAATAAACAAAATAAAGCGATTTCACTCTCAAAATATTCACAAGTCGGTAAACAAAAGACCATTGCGTGGTTTTTAAGTGAAGGATTTGTGTAGACACCCGCTGTATCAGGGTTTCGGTAACAACTTGAGAAGGCAAACGATTTTCAACCTGTGGCATTTTAATGAGTCAACGGTTGAAAATCCCGCTCCCTGGAGATCGAAACACCAAAAATTATCCTCTTGATCACTCCACACGCAACCATTCAGTAACCGTAAATTGCACTTTTGTTGGTGCAGGGAATAGTGGGCCACGTAGGTTCAGAAAAAAATACGTTGTCAGCTAACATGTTCATCGAATTAACCACAAAAGCAGGCGACCAACAGAATGGGAAAAACACGAAAACTTGATCCCACATTCACAGCAATCAATAAATATATTAACGCTTGTCCCGTACATCAAATTTCAGCCACAAAGGGAAGCAACATGTTCAGATGTCAATGTAATCTGGTCGTTCTGTTTTTGATATGACTGATCCCCGTTTTTGTAAAAAATCGGCATTGTCAAGCAATAGCAGCAAACAAGTATGAATTACTACAGATCTCGAGTCATTCAATGTGGAATTCACCTAATCATTCATGGAATTAACCAGCCAACAAGACATCACGTCTCAACTACTCTCTGAATTCGCCTGCCTCAGACAGCGAAAATGGGGTGGAGGCCAGGTGTGCTTGATTTCCCACTTTGATGTGGAGAACAAGTGAAGCAAAGCAAGCTGACAGTTAAATGCCGCGTTCGTGAACCTGGTTAACGGGTCACGTGTTAAACAAATCGATGACATTAATAGGTTGGGTTGGGGCCAATCAACTGGTAGTGCTCAGATAGTGCGCCTCACGAGCAAACCGATGCGTGGTGCAGGGCATGCTGGCAGTGCGTGACCTCGCTTGAGGAGCACCTGCATCAATTGAGTAGTCGATCCTATGCCACCATCTGGGGGCTCCACTGTATGACCGTTTACCAACAACCCCACTCCTCATGCACCAACTACGTTCACGGCTAGCTCGAGCACAACGCCACAGCACATTTGCATCAACACGCACGCACACGTGTCCTCACCGTCACCCGACATTACCTCGACTCTGCCTGTTCAGACGTGTCACACCAACGTCGCCTGCACTGACCTCCAACGCCTTCCACACCTCCCGCACTAGAAGGACAGCGCCCTCTCGGCCACATCCCACCACATCCGGTGTGCGCGTGGAAAGCAACGATCCGTGTGTTCACGCATCAGTTGTGGCACACATGAGCCACGCTCACGCCAATGTTTTACGCCATCAAATTTGCACCGCCTCATAACTACGCGTGGCTGCAGTCGAAATTGCGAATCGACAGGAGAGCGGGCACTTGTGGCTGCTTCATTCACGTCACCTTGGTCAACTCGCGCGTCAGGCCACCGCCAAACGCAACGCGCTGAAGTCACCAGTTTGTCCTCTGGTCTCCAAAACTGCCCCGTACCTAGCTGAGTTGCTCCAACAGACATTCTCCAACGGGTGTGATTGCTGTTCCCACAGAAGTCGTCATTCTTGCATGCCGGTCAAGATGCAACCCATGCGACCCCCTAATTAACTACCACTGCTTTAAGTTAATTGGTTGTTCGGAACCTAGTTTAACGAGTTCAACCATGCCAGTAGTAAAGCACATTCATCTCTGCTCAATGTGTGAAGCGATTACTTAGAGCACGACTACCTCGTACGAAGTTGGTTACCCCGTGAAGCCCAGAGAGGCACGCTGATCCTCCCTGTTCGCGAGACACGATTTGTAGGGTGGACAGTAGCTCAGAAGTTTCGCTGCCAGAGAATGGCGACATGACAGTTCTTTCAGGGTCGATTCTTGGAGACTTCCTTTCGATGGGATCACTTGTGAAGTCGACGTTTTAGTGGCACCTCGAGAAGCAAAACTTTCCTGACGCTAACTTTATACTGGCATTTTTAGTAATTTGACTCCAAAATCGTCCTTTCCCTTTCGCAAAAGAAGGTAAGTACTTTGTGAATGCTGCATTCAATCGAAGTAAAACAATAACATCAATATTTCCACCAATCACAATTCACACGCCATACTACATTATCTTGTATAAAGAGAACTAAAAGTAGACCGTTGTTGAGTTAATTTATAAAGCGAGGGGAGTCGTTATTAAAAGGCGGGGCACGCGACGCCAGTCCCTCGCAAGCCACAATAACCCCTGGGATTATTGTGCAGATACTGCTGATGATAGTCCTCTGCGTAGTAGAAGTCTGTCAGCAGGCGGATCTCCGTGGTGATGGGTCGGGAGGCGCCCAGGGCCTCCTGGAAGGCGTCGCGCGACGCCTGAGCCGCTTGCAGCTGATCCTGCGTGCTGACGTAGATGGCAGACCTGTATTGAGAGCCGATATCGTTGCCCTGTCGATTGCCCTGAGTCGGATCGTGCGACTCCCAGAACACCTGCAAAATACGCCGGAGGCTTGCTGGAATTTGATTTAGATGCAAAACATTGAGGGATCTAGTGAACAGCAGACGTGGACTTAATTGTTCTGCCCAAATTCCCGGTATCAGAACCTGTTTCAAAGCATTTGCTGCAAGTATGCATGAGGACGTTTCCTCAATTTCATCCACTTAAATACTGAAGTAAATGGTTAGTCAATAGCAAAGACGCCGCTGCTTCGAAAGAATGGCATTTGTGTTAAGCAGGTGTTGGAGCCAGCAGTGTAGTAAAAAAAACAGGATTTATTTACAGAATAATAAAATTGCTAGCTGACTTGGCGACAGAAATAAGAATTAAGGTGACCAGGCAGTGTCACGAAGACATGGCGTGGGCTGAAATTCGTGAACAGCGATATTACTCTGTTTACAAATTATCAGCACTACTGACACGGCTTGGTTTTGTCACAAAAACATAATTATGCGAGCCCAAGTAGGGTCACCTTAAGGTCGAACTCTCAAAATAGGCCACTTCAGTCAGTTTAGGGTCGCCTTGATAACCACAGAATCAGCCAATGAAATGCAGACTACTAGAACGTATCGAAATGGGTGAATTTGCCCGCGGATATGTTTCTAGGTAAACTCCTTCATTTAGACTTATAATAGTGCTGTTTCATAATCACCCCATAGGTGTGAATTTAGGGTTAGCTCAAATCCTCGAAAACGCCAATTTTAGCTAAAAGGTTAGCTCTGGAGGAAGTGGTAACGTTTCTTCTATAAACGTCATCGTTTTTAAGAGCATCCAAAGTCTCTGATTGGCAAAGGTCAACTGTGCTAGAGTGCGACTAATTTTAGGAATATCTAAACGGCGAATAAACCATTAGACAATGGATCTTTGTAGTGCTGCTCCCATAAAATTAGTTTCGTGTGAAAATCATAGTTCCGCGAAAATCCACTAACATTTATGTGTGTTCGGAAGCTAATAAAGAACAAGGTGCTCGCGTGCTTTCCCTGTATGTGTGGAAACATGGCTTTCGAGCTGAAGGAGGATCGTCAAATTGTGCACTTTACCGGAGCTGCTTGTCGACACCATGAAAGCATATCTAAATTTTCCCCATGCAAAAATTAAGGGGCGAAGGTGCACCATTAGTGTCCTTAAATCATTTTGGCAAGGGCTCATTACAAACTGATAGGGCTGCATGAGCAGGAACACAAGTGGTCAAGGCCGATAGACTCAAAGCGTACCTTTAAAAGGCCTTTGAAAGACGTTTCCTCGGGGTCGTATACAACCCTCACGACCTCGACATGTCCCGTGTCCTTTTTGCAAACCTCTTCGTACGATGGGTTGCTCGTGGTCCCACCAGCGAAACCCACCTGACAAGAGAGGAAAAATTATTAAAAATCTAGCTACACTTATGAATAATTTACCTACTACTTAAAAATTGTCAACGAGCATATATGGACTCCGAATCACCAGTTGCATACCTTCGAATGAATTCCCATACCTTAAAATGCGTGGAATATTCAGATAATTGGGTGCAATTCCACATAAGAAACAGCTACTGGGTGCGTGGGCGCAGATGCTAACATTGTTTTCCCTTCGCCATGTCAGTGTAAAAAGAAAACAACTCAACTTATTGGCAAAATGTGAAATCATACACGCTCATGGCGTTCTACAAACCTGTGTGGAGTAGATGTGCGGAAGCTGCCAGAATCGACGCTCAGCGCCCCAAAAACAACCCATTCCGAACATGACCGTCAGATATCCCTCCGGAAATGGTGGGAAAAGCTGGGTTCCAAGGACCGCATGCTTTAACGCCAAGCCAGATGCCATAACACTGCGGATAAAAAAGTGGAGACGAACTGGCAAGACAAACGAAATATTTACTGCAATATAGGAAACTCACGAAAATGGTCTGTCGGTTAACCATTGCATTAAAAGACAAACCTTTAAATTAAAATGGCAAATTAAATGGTCTAAGAAATTGGTAAGGCACACTAAAATGTCAATCTGTAGTTACAATTTTAACAAGAGGTCGCTGAAATAAAAAAAATCAGCTAAAATCCGAGTGCTTGTTTAAATACAGGCGAAAACACGTCACATGAACACCTTCGATTTAATGGTTGCTTAATATCATACAATGCAAACATCTGAGCACCAAGATAACACTGTTATACACAATTTCAAGAGAATATTTATTTTATCTATCAACATGGACACTTGGACATATAGATATAGAGAGGATCAATTATAAGTACCAACGAGTAATGAGTCCACTCCAAAATAACTAATTTGCAAATTTAAAAGCCTTCACTTCGTAAGAATGACCTTGAGATGAGGTAATTGCTACGAAACACATTCAAACTGGAACCATGTCTATTTGTTAGTACCATTAACTTCACATACAAAAAAAAATAGTTACAAAACGCTGCTATCTGCAAAGCTATATTTTGTCATTTTAGGTTATTTATATCTACAAGTAGAGATTTGCACTTTACCACTGGTGACGAGCTATCGGCAGTTGTTTTAAAGGCATCAACAGCACAGAAATAAATGGCTTAAATATGAATAGAAATAGGATTTTAGGTGTGCATTTAAAACCCAATTTTCGTTTCAAAACATAAACTTTCCTAATCTTTTCCGTTTTAGTTTCGAAGCTTTTTCCTTTTAAAAATAATAAAAGATCCTCCGTAGTTGAACGTGCAGATTGAATGTCATTTTAACCTATCTAACTAAATAATAGAAGTGGGGATGGTCTTCTAGCCATTATTAGTCTGTGTCATAATTAAACTTCAATTCTTTATTAAACGCAATTTGGTGGTAAATGGCATATTTTCCTTATTCACAAAATTTTCTTTCTTAACATAATAACAGGATGAAAGAAGTGTAATTAATCGCATTTATAATACTAGACCTTGATTTGGCACTATTACAAAGCCAAAACAATTTCCCAATAAAAACAGTAGAAACATTAAACCATAGCATCCAAGGTCATTAATTGTTGGTGAAGACAAATTCCCTAAAAAATAACCGCCTTTTACTGATTTACTTTATAATTATTTTGGCTGACCAAAATTTGACGCAATCATATGCGATTCACTGAAGCCTGATATGGCTCACTAATTGATAAAATTCGTAATAACAAAAAATCACACCATGTGGCACAAGTTTACAACGCCATTTCAGATCCCGTTTGCTAACATGAAGCCAGCTAATCACCAAGGTACATACTATCAGTATATAACTACTACGGTTGATTTGTGCCATTTGTATTTTCCAAAGGCTGACATTGCTGCTTCGATCACACGTCGCCTATTACTAAAATGAAAACACCAATGTTCATTTAATAATTTTCTTGCAATGCTAGAATTGATTTTTATCTATCATATTGTTCAGAAACCAGATTATTTAACTGTTACTGTGCGTAGCATTTTTGTACTTGCATGCAAACCTTAAATAATTACATTTTTCATTCGGGATCACTGTCCTGAAGTTTGCTTAATAGTCCTCGCGATTGACTTTATTCGCAGTTTGAATTAAATGCATAAATGTCCATCCAGATTTTTTTTGGAACTTTACTTCCTAGGACTTCAGTTATCATACTATTCTCTAAATATGTTGGGAACTTTTTTCCTTTTCTGTTAACAACGACTTTAGAAGATTTTGTTCATTTAAAACATAACAACTCTTTCAAACGCCAAATTTTTGATTGTGAACTAATGTTTACGGATTTTTTCACCTCTATTGGCTTGCCCATCTCTTAAAGAGTTGGTGTTGCTGAGTGCTCCTAATGGAGACAAGGCTTTACAACTGCTTGCATTGTATTCAAAATCTAAACAAGATCGCTTACTAGGTGTGTTTTCAGTAGCACCTAATTTAATTGTTCCAAAATGAATGACTATTCGGATCCCGTGCATCTACCTTGGAATGAGAAATTCGTAGATTCATTATTTATGAACAATTTCGTGACTCAATTAGATAGATGATACTTGATAATACGTTAATGTTCTTTTGAGTTAATTTTTGGCCATCCATCCATTCATTTTTTCATTCTTGGTCGGAATGAAGGAGAGTTTGTGTAAGAGAACGTGGCCTGGACAACAGAAATGTAAACTTATGATGAGAAAACTAGTTAACATCCGCTTTAGAAATTTTTTTTTAACCGTGGTGATCTCATTCAACCTACGGGTGTAACCTTCAACAAACTATGATTTTCGAAACTCACCGTTCTCAAGACTACAGTTGTCTAGGCTTTTACAAATTTGTCTCGTTCACTATTAACTGCGGTCTATGCACACCAACTTTTTTTTATTCATATTCCCCTCCTTCGTCCCATTGGCCAATCACGTTTGAATGTACAAATTCCATTACCCGCTCTCAAGGCCGCCCATGTTAAATGTAAGCGGACGTATTTGAACGTGGCCGTCTACCTTTGGCTTAGACAGTAGCAGCTCTCTACGCGAAGTCTAGTCTCATATTAGCGCGTTCAGTCGCAGTGCTCGTTTAAAGTGGCCAATAGCATGCTAACGAGGCAATCGATAAATTGTAATCGGGGTTTTGCATCTGTGTGCCGGGAGCCGTAACAGGTGGATTCCACTTCACGAATGACATTGAAGTCTTAGGAGATCGTGCTGGAAAGTGAAAATACAGGCAAACCAACAAAAGTATTTCCTCTGAAAATCCCCTTGGATAGCAGGGAATGATCGTGGGTCAACACCCACTTCCCTTTCAGCTAGAGACGGAAAATCAGGTGCTTTCCTAGGTGGTACTCATAAATAACAACTGTCTGCGGCTCACATTTAAGATACGAGGGAGTACGAAGCGGGAGTGTTATGCTAGTCCTGTTCACTTAAGCAGCATTGGCAATGTAATAATATATATTTACTAACAACTACCGACTGTCCTGATCTGCCAGCACTTACTCTGTAGATTTAGATACCCTCTGGGATATATGCCGAAGAAAGTCCAGCTTTAAAAATTCCCAAGTGCTCTCACTGCTAATAACCAACCGTATCAAATAAACTGTTGATTTTGGGCCTAATTGTGAATTTCTCATCGCGTTTTTAAGGATAATCGATACACTGGTGTATTCTGTGTCCCTAACATGCTTCAGTGAGTGTTCCGAACCCACGCCACTTCATTTTACTGTGCTGTCTGCCAGCACGTTCACTTTCCTGCTGAAGAACTTTTCAACTTGGACGTCGTTTTTGTTGGACGTGTACAACGGAGGCCAATTAGAAAAGAGTGTGGCTTCGTAAACATCGTGGTAATCTACTGATTTATGCGTGGTAAGACAGAACTTACCGAGTTGCGTCATGATCGCCACGGAGAGATGGCTTAACGTTGCGCCACTTGGCGCGTGACTGACCATGTCGACTGAATATCTGCGCACTTCGAGATAACGCTTTCTACGTAAGTGGCAGTTAATCCAGCATTGTCTGCCAACGACCCTCGGAATCGCAAAATGGACGGTGTTTTATTAAATCAGATTAGACCAAGGAGTCAAAATTCACATTCGATTGAAACCTTTTTAGGGGGTTTTGGTTTTTGGAATATCAGTCACAAAGTGAAGGGAATTATTTAACCTTCATGTAAATACAAAATGATGTTTGATACTAAAGATCTTCACCTGAAGGTAAAGCAAATATCGAAAGCAAGGGTTTCCGAGAATTGACCCTAAAAGAGCTGTCATGTCGCCATTGGATGGCAGCGAAACTTCTGAACTACTGTCCATCCTACAAATCGTGTCTCGCGAACAGGGAGGATCAGCGTGCCTCTCTGGGCTTCACGGGGTAACCAACTTCGTACGAGGTAGTCGTGCTCTAAGTAATCGGTTCACACATTGAGCAGAGATGAATGTGCTTTACTACTGGCATGGTTGAACTCGTTAAACTAGGTTCCAAACAGCCAATTAACTTCAGGTAGTGCTGGTTAATTGGAGGGTCGCATGGGTTGCATCTTGACCGGCATGCAAGAATGACGACTTCTGTGGGAACAGCAATCACACCCGTTGGAGAATG